AAAAAAAAGCTTGGGAGAGACAAAAAAAAAAAGGTTCTTCCAATATTAAACGTTCGCACAACTGTACGAACCACCAACCGTCCACACGATGAAAACAACAAAGGAACTCATCGATGAAAACCATGCCGCCATTCAATTGACCTAGCAACTTCGCGCACGACGATCATGGACACGGGCCACGTGTCAATTCCACCCACCTACCGATCGCACCAACCCACGTCCTCCCGCCTCCCCCCCCCCCCCCCCCCCCCCGCACGGTCCTACATCAGAGCTAGGCGGTCTCGAAGTGCATCCCGCAACAAGTCCCCGTCCACGTTCGTACTCCGTCGCCGCCCGCCCGCGCCGTTCCCCACAATGCCCAAGTCCACTCTACGCCGAATGCCATTCTCATCCACCTCCCACAAAAGGTTCTCATCGAAGTCGATCCCCGCGTCGAGGAGGATGTTGTGGAGAGTGCACACGGCCACGAATTGCTGTGGCAAGGTCTCCAAGTTCGTCTTGTGGGTGCGCAAGAACAAACGCCACATGCACTTCAATCGCCCGAATGCCCTCTCCACACACCTCCGCGCCACCTTCTGCCACGTGTCGAAGCGCTCCTCGTCAGGACCTTGGTCGATTCCATGGACAGGCAACTGGATAACCGTTGTCGCCTAGCAGGTAACGTCGCGTGACGACACCATGCGACAGATTCTCCGGAGGTGCGTTGAAGAGCTCGCCAGCTTCTGCACGCCTCCACAGATGGGAATTGTGCAGGACACGGACGTCGTGCACACTTCTCGAGTATCCGATGTGGACGTCGAGGATCCGCAGATCCAAATCCACCACCACCTGCGCGTGCACGGAGAACTTCTATTTGCAGTCGTAGTAGTTGTCTGAAGGTGTGCCGGTGGGCTTGTCAATGTAGATGTGTGTACAGTCGATCGCGCTGAAGCTGTTCGAAAAACCCTTGTCATGGAAAGCGCACAGAATCTGCGCACGTCTACGGCCAACTAGCCACTTTATCGCGTCGGGGTACGTCTGCAGCAGCACCGAAGTGACGTCGCGGACGTCCTGCAGTCCAGTTGCCCTGCCGATGCCGAAGGCTGACGTGCCGCTCTCGTACGTCTCTCCTGGCGCCCACCTGTACAACGTGAAAGCGATCACCTGCTCCACTGGCAATGGCATCCTATAGTGCGTCACCTTCTTCTCCTCGTACTCGGCGCACGCGGCTACGATCTGCCTGAACATGGTCATCGACATGCGCAACTTCTGGCAGTAGTACTCGTCCGTCGCGTCATCACACAGGCGGAGGTCCTCCCATGCTCACACATGGCCACGCAATCCGCAATCGGCAATGAGCTGCAACAACGCTCTTCGTTTACGGAGCTGCGTCAGCATGTCGCGTGAGGACGACGAAATGTCGCTCATCGTTTTGACGACGACGACAGTAACCGCCATCGCCACCGCGTCGAACTCCTCTTCGCGTAGACCGTGCCCGCTGCCGCGAACGTCCATCTCTGGGAATCGTTCCGCCCCTACAGCGTGACGCCTGCCACAACCGCGGAAGACACGCCCGCTGCTCAACCCTGCCGCAGGAGACCACGCACGCCGGACCTGTAGATGCGCCCGCTGCCGTACGCTGCCACAGGAGATGACGTACGCCGGAGCTGACGACGTGCCCGCTGCTCTACGCTTCCAAAGAACAGCACGCACGGCGAAGGTGAAGATACGCCTTGCAGGAAGATGCGCCCGCTGGTCACAACTTGCGTGGAGTCGGAAGATGGATACCCACGCCGAACGGTTCGCCAGCGCCGTCTTTTGTACGTCACACGCGTCGCCTGGCTGTCCTCCGCCCCGCCACCCTGTGTCCGCAAAAATTTGAATTCGAATTTTCGAAGTTCGGGGTGACCGCGCTTTTCACCGACCCCTCCCAACCCGCCCAAGGGCCACCGAAGTGTGTACCACGGACACCAGCGACATCGGTGACGCAGCTGCGTATACGCATATGAAAACCGTCCGCGGGAGACCTTTTAGGACGAATCCTAAAAGATGATTTTTAGGACTGCGTGTAACGACGCCGCACGAAATCCTGAAAAACCTTTAGGACTCGTCCTAAAAATTTTAGGATTCTTTTAGGAGTGTCTAACGAGACCCTAAGGGAAAACTAGGGGCGCAGTCAAGGTTTTCAGTTTGAAATGCGTTTCAGTCACGATTTCGCAAATTTTGCTCCAAAGCGAGGAAAATTGTGAGTGTATCCAACCCAACTTTAGGGTTGGGTGGGGATGCGTTGTATTTGAGGGATGCCTGAAGTGGATTTACAACTGAAAACGTGACTGCGCCGTAGTTACCCCAACAACTAAAACATGGAATGGTTCGGATTGACCAAGGTAATAAGATTTGTTCCCAGGTTTTTATTGATTTGACATTTTAAACCACCAGTACCTATATGGACCCCAGGGGCAGACCAGTTCGGCTACACCAACCGTTAGGTACTGGTGGCTTAAGAAAAACAAAAGATTTGTGGCTTCGAACCTTAGATGACACATTTTTTTTGCTGGAAACAGTGGCGGTGCTCAGGAAAACAGAGGCTGCATCATCAATCATTGGCCCATTTTGTCCCATCTCCCCCCTCTTGAAAGAAGGGTGACGGCCCTGAGATATCATCAGGAAACTGACTGGCACGGGTGATTTAAGAATTTCGTTCATTTAATTCCATATGGATTTGGACTCAGGTTTTTTTTTTTTTTTTTTTTTTTTTTTTTTTTTTTT